ATTCAAGTCTGTCCTCAAAGTCAGAAGTCAGTAAAATGTTTGATATTCAAGTCTGTCCTCAAAGTCAGAAGTCAGTAAAATGTTTGATATTCAAGTCTGTCCTCAAAGTCAGAAGTCAGTAAAATGTTGGATATTCAAGTCTGTCCTCAAAGTCAGAAGTCAGTAAAATGTTGGATATTCAAGTCTGTCCTCAAAGTCAGAAGTCAGTAAAATGTTGGATATTCAAGTCTGTCCTCAAAGTCAGAAGTCAGTAAAATGTTGGATATCGAAGTCTGTCCTCAAAGTCAGAAGTCAGTAAAATGTTTGATATTCAAGTCTGTCCTCAAAGTCAGAAGTCAGTAAAATGTTTGATATTCAAGTCTGTCCTCAAAGTCAGAAGTCAGTAAAATGTTTGATATTCAAGTCTGTCCTCAAAGTCAGAAGTCAGTAAAATGTTTGATATTCAAGTCTGTCCTCAAAGTCAGAAGTCAGTAAAATGTTGGATATTCAAGTCTGTCCTCAAAGTCAGAAGTCAGTAAAATGTTTGATATTGAAGTCTGTCCTCAAAGTCAGAAGTCAGTAAAATGTTGGATATTCAAGTCTGTCCTCAAAGTCAGAAGTCAGTAAAATGTTTGATATTGAAGTCTGTCCTCAAAGTCAGAAGTCAGTAAAATGTTGGATATTGAAGTCTGTCCTCAAAGTCAGAAGTCAGTAAAATGTTGGATATTCAAGTCTGTCCTCAAAGTCAGAAGTCAGTAAAATGTTTGATATTGAAGTCTGTCCTCAAAGTCAGAAGTCAGTAAAATGTTGGATATTGAAGTCTGTCCTCAAAGTCAGAAGTCAGTAAAATGTTGGATATTCAAGTCTTTCCTTAAAGTCAGAAGTCAGTAAAATGTTGGATATTGAAGTCTGTCCTCAAAGTCAGAAGTCAGTAAAATGTTGGATATTCAAGTCTTTCCTCAAAGTCAGAAGTCAGTAAAATGTTGGATATTGAAGTCTGTCCTCAAAGTCAGAAGTCAGTAAAATGTTGGATATTCAAGTCTTTCCTCAAAGTCAGAAGTCAGTAAAATGTTGGATATTGAAGTCTGTCCTCAAAGTCAGAAGTCAGTAAAATGTTTGATATTCAAGTCTTTCCTCAAAGTCAGAAGTCAGTAAAATGTTTGGTATTGATTCTGTCCTCAAAGTCAGAAGTCAGTAAAATGTTTGGTATTGATTCTGTCCTCAAAGTCAGAAGTCAGTAAAATGTTGGATATTGAAGTCTTTCCTCAAAGTCAGAAGTCAGTAAAATGTTTGATTTTGAAGTCTGTCCTCAAAGTCAGAAGTCAGTAAAATGTTTGATATTCAAGTCTGTCCTCAAAGTCAGAAGTCAGTAAAATGTTTGATATTGAGGTCTGTCCTCAAAGTCAGAAGTCAGTAAAATGTTTGATATTCAAGTCTGTCCTCAAAGTCAGAAGTCAGTAAAATGTTTGGTATTGATTCTGTCCTCAAAGTCAGAAGTCAGTAAAATGTTGGATATTGAAGTCTTTCCTCAAAGTCAGAAGTCAGTAAAATGTTTGATTTTGAAGTCTGTCCTCAAAGTCAGAAGTCAGTAAAATGTTTGATTTTGAAGTCTGTCCTCAAAGTCAGAAGTCAGTAAAATGTTGGATATTGAAGTCTTTCCTCAAAGTCAGAAGTCAGTAAAATGTTTGATTTTGAAGTCTGTCCTCAAAGTCAGAAGTCAGTAAAATGTTTGATTTTGAAGTCTGTCCTCAAAGTCAGAAGTCAGTAAAATGTTGGATATTGAAGTCTTTCCTCAAAGTCAGAAGTCAGTAAAATGTTTGATTTTGAAGTCTGTCCTCAAAGTCAGAAGTCAGTAAAATGTTGGATATTCAAGTCTGTCCTCAAAGTCAGAAGTCAGTAAAATGTTTGATATTGAAGTCTGTCCTCAAAGTCAGAAGTCAGTAAAATGTTGGATATTCAAGTCTGTCCTCAAAGTCAGAAGTCAGTAAAATGTTTGATATTGAAGTCTGTCCTCAAAGTCAGAAGTCAGTAAAATGTTGGATATTGAAGTCTGTCCTCAAAGTCAGAAGTCAGTAAAATGTTTGATATTGAAGTCTGTCCTCAAAGTCAGAAGTCAGTAAAATGTTTGATATTGAAGTCTGTCCTCAAAGTCAGAAGTCAGTAAAATGTTTGATATTGAAGTCTGTCCTCAAAGTCAGAAGTCAGTAAAATGTTGGATATTGAAGTCTGTCCTCAAAGTCAGAAGTCAGTAAAATGTTTGATATTGAAGTCTGTCCTCAAAGTCAGAAGTCAGTAAAATGTTGGATATTCAAGTCTGTCCTCAAAGTCAGAAGTCAGTAAAATGTTGGATATTGAAGTCTTTCCTCAAAGTCAGAAGTCAGTAAAATGTTTGATTTTGAAGTCTGTCCTCAAAGTCAGAAGTCAGTAAAATGTTGGATATTCAAGTCTGTCCTCAAAGTCAGAAGTCAGTAAAATGTTGGATATTCAAGTCTTTCCTCAAAGTCAGAAGTCAGTAAAATGTTTGATTTTGAAGTCTGTCCTCAAAGTCAGAAGTCAGTAAAATGTTTGGTATTGATTCTGTCCTCAAAGTCAGAAGTCAGTAAAATGTTGGATATTGAAGTCTTTCCTCAAAGTCAGAAGTCAGTAAAATGTTTGATTTTGAAGTCTGTCCTCAAAGTCAGAAGTCAGTAAAATGTTTGATATTGAAGTCTGTCCTCAAAGTCAGAAGTCAGTAAAATGTTTGATATTTAAGTCTGTCCTCAAAGTCAGAAGTCAGTAAAATGTTTGATATTCAAGTCTGTCCTCAAAGTCAGAAGTCAGTAAAATGTTGGATATTCAAGTCTGTCCTCAAAGTCAGAAGTCAGTAAAATGTTTGATATTGAAGTCTGTCCTCAAAGTCAGAAGTCAGTAAAATGTTTGATATTGAAGTCTGTCCTCAAAGTCAGAAGTCAGTAAAATGTTGGATATTCAAGTCTGTCCTCAAAGTCAGAAGTCAGTAAAATGTTTGATATTGAAGTCTGTCCTCAAAGTCAGAAGTCAGTAAAATGTTGGATATTCAAGTCTTTCCTCAAAGTCAGAAGTCAGTAAAATGTTGGATATTGAAGTCTGTCCTCAAAGTCAGAAGTCAGTAAAATGTTGGATATTCAAGTCTTTCCTCAAAGTCAGAAGTCAGTAAAATGTTGGATATTGAAGTCTGTCCTCAAAGTCAGAAGTCAGTAAAATGTTTGATATTCAAGTCTTTCCTCAAAGTCAGAAGTCAGTAAAATGTTTGATATTGAAGTCTGTCCTCAAAGTCAGAAGTCAGTAAAATGTTTGATATTGAAGTCTGTCCTCAAAGTCAGAAGTCAGTAAAATGTTTGATCTTGAAGTCTGTCCTCAAAGTCAGAAGTCAGTAAAATGTTGGATATTGAAGTCTTTCCTCAAAGTCAGAAGTCAGTAAAATGTTTGATTTTGAAGTCTGTCCTCAAAGTCAGAAGTCAGTAAAATGTTTGATCTTGAAGTCTGTCCTCAAAGTCAGAAGTCAGTAAAATGTTGGATATTGAAGTCTTTCCTCAAAGTCAGAAGTCAGTAAAATGTTTGATAATCAAGTCTGTCCTCAAAGTCAGAAGTCAGTAAAATGTTGGATATTGAAGTCTTTCCTCAAAGTCAGAAGTCAGTAAAATGTTTGATATTGAAGTCTGTCCTCAAAGTCAGAAGTCAGTAAAATGTTGGATATTGAAGTCTTTCCTCAAAGTCAGAAGTCAGTAAAATGTTTGATATTCAAGTCTGTCCTCAAAGTCAGAAGTCAGTAAAATGTTTGATCTTGAAGTCTGTCCTCAAAGTCAGAAGTCAGTAAAATGTTGGATATTGAAGTCTTTCCTCAAAGTCAGAAGTCAGTAAAATGTTTGATTTTGAAGTCTGTCCTCAAAGTCAGAAGTCAGTAAAATGTTGGATATTGAAGTCTTTCCTCAAAGTCAGAAGTCAGTAAAATGTTTGATTTTGAAGTCTGTCCTCAAAGTCAGAAGTCAGTAAAATGTTGGATATTGAAGTCTTTCCTCAAAGTCAGAAGTCAGTAAAATGTTTGATATTCAAGTCTGTCCTCAAAGTCAGAAGTCAGTAAAATGTTTGATCTTGAAGTCTGTCCTCAAAGTCAGAAGTCAGTAAAATGTTGGATATTGAAGTCTTTCCTCAAAGTCAGAAGTCAGTAAAATGTTTGATTTTGAAGTCTGTCCTCAAAGTCAGAAGTCAGTAAAATGTTTGATCTTGAAGTCTGTCCTCAAAGTCAGAAGTCAGTAAAATGTTGGATATTGAAGTCTTTCCTCAAAGTCAGAAGTCAGTAAAATGTTTGATAATCAAGTCTGTCCTCAAAGTCAGAAGTCAGTAAAATGTTGGATATTGAAGTCTTTCCTCAAAGTCAGAAGTCAGTAAAATGTTTGATATTCAAGTCTGTCCTCAAAGTCAGAAGTCAGTAAAATGTTTGATCTTGAAGTCTGTCCTCAAAGTCAGAAGTCAGTAAAATGTTGGATATTGAAGTCTTTCCTCAAAGTCAGAAGTCAGTAAAATGTTTGATTTTGAAGTCTGTCCTCAAAGTCAGAAGTCAGTAAAATGTTTGATCTTGAAGTCTGTCCTCAAAGTCAGAAGTCAGTAAAATGTTTGATTTTGAAGTCTGTCCTCAAAGTCAGAAGTCAGTAAAATGTTTGATTTTGAAGTCTGTCCTCAAAGTCAGAAGTCAGTAAAATGTTTGATCTTGAAGTCTGTCCTCAAAGTCAGAAGTCAGTAAAATGTTGGATATTGAAGTCTTTCCTCAAAGTCAGAAGTCAGTAAAATGTTTGATAATCAAGTCTGTCCTCAAAGTCAGAAGTCAGTAAAATGTTTGATTTTGAAGTCTGTCCTCAAAGTCAGAAGTCAGTAAAATGTTGGATATTGAAGTCTGACCCCAAAGTCAGAAGTCAGTAAAATGTTTGATATTGAAGTCTGACCCCAAAGCCATGTTTCTGTGAAATAACCATTTACTATGTTTATCCTGCTATTGTTGATTACAGTGATGAAGAATTATCTCAGTACATGCTACAGCTAGTCCAGTCCCTCAAATTTGAGTCATACCTCTACTCTGAACTTGCAAAATTCCTATTGGAGAGATGTCTACGTAACCAGCACCTTGGCCATCAGCTGTTCTGGCTTCTGAAGTAAGTCTGAAACTTAACATCACAACAGTTCTTCATGAAAACACCTGAAAATATAACAAAGTATTTCTTATACATTCCAGAATATCATATGCACTTGATGTGCACATAGTGCACCTGCCCATTTAGATTTTGACATTTATCTTTGGATTAATGGATCTTCCTCATTTGCCTTAAAGGTTTCAGAATTCGGGCCCTTAGCATCATTGATGAGTCTTAGAAAGACAAAACCACTGTATGATGCAGTTTAATTCAATATATGGCTCTGTTGTATCTTATTTGAAATTAGTGTTTAAAGGTGTTATTTACTTGCAAGCACTTAAAGAATGCCTTATCCTTCAGTGATCGCCTACAAGACTTTATTATACAATTCTCCTGATAATACATGCTAAAGTAAGTCATCCAAACCTGTCTGTCATAGAAAGGATTCCAAGGCAGTTCTCCTGCCAACTGCCATGTAACAACATCACATTGACGAGAAGTTTCTGTGTTGTATGCTAGATTGGAAAAGCAACTTCTAACAGAATTATGACCTTTATGTTTCAATACTGAAATACAAGTTCTAAATAAATTTCACCAAATATTTATATTAGGATGATACTATTAATATCATAATTGTTCCACTGTTAGAATAACTTTTTTACAAGATTGACTTTAAAGTTCAATTCACTCACATACTGTTTTTCTCTATGTTCATTTGTCAGCATGATTAAGACAATTCAGATCCACTACTGTGTAGAAGGAAATTGGACTGTTTGTAATATTTGGCCATGATAATTAAAGCAATGGCATGTCACTTGTTCAAAAATTTAATTGTGAATTCACCTGGCTATCCACGAAAGTTCAATAAAACCTTGTAAACTATAAAAAGATTATCATATGATATTCAGATGCTTTCTACATTGTCAGGTCAGAACTTCATGATTCGAAGGTGACTGTTCAGTTTGGTTTGATTTTGGAAGTATACCTCAAATTCAGCCGGGACCATATTCCAAATATCTGTAAACAACAGGAGTCATTAAGCAAGCTCTGCAGTCTCAATCAAATAGCTAAACAGAAAAACGTAAGTTTTAAACATGTGTATGTCTCTAAAAAAAATTGTCAGTCAAAAAAATTTTGCAAGCATCAAAATGTATCATAGAATCCAACCAGAAAAGTTCTTTTAGTATAAAATGTATCATCTGTACAAAATTAGTTAATCAGAAAAGTTCTTTTAGTATAAAATGTATTATCTGTACAAAATTAGCCAATCAGAAAAGTTCTTTTAGTATAAAATGTATTATCTGTACAAAATTAGCCAATCAGAAAAGTTCTTTTAGTATAAAATGTATTATCTGTACAAAATTAGCCAATCAGAAAAGTTCTTTTAGTATAAAATGTATTATCTGTACAAAATTAGCCAATCAGAAAAGTTCTTTTAATGTCAAATGTATTATCTGTACAAAATTAGCCAATCAGAAAAGTTCTTTTAATGTCAAATGTATTATCTGTACAAAATTAGCCAATCAGAAAAGTTCTGATAGTATCAAACATGTATCATCTGTACAAAATTAGCCAATCAGATAAGTTCTATAAGTATTTGCCATGTGTAGACCTAAAATGATTAAACATAATTGTATTATACTTTACCACATAATTGCTTTGTTATTTATTGTCAATGCTCATATTAGATGTTTTCATATTACACATTAGCTATGTACTAAAACTTATTATGACATGAGGTTTATAGTGTGAAGTGACATCACATATTCACGTTTTGTGATCTAACAAAAGCCTTTAGACAAAGAACCAAGTGACAAGTTTTCTGCGATATAGATTTGCCTAAATAATCAATCATATGATAGAAATATGATTTAATAAACTTGTCACAAATTTGTTATATAAGCTCACCAATTATGATCCTATACTTATTCTTTATATGGGTGTTTGGGTGGTGCAGTGGTAACGCACTCGCCTTTCACCTAACCGACCGGGGTTCGATTCCCGGAACAGATGTGAAAAGGTAAGAGGTCACCTGCCCGACCACATGGGTTTTCTCCGGTACCCGGGTACCGGTTTCCTCCCACAATAAGACCCCTCGCACATGCTGGCCAACAAGAGTGATTAGTATAAGTTGACATAACTTGTTTCACAATTGTTGTAAAATAAATAAAGTTTATATATTTCTTTATATCATTGAATTTCCTCCAATTATGAAGAAATTCTTTGGCATGACTTATTAGAAAATGTGTTATTTTGCAGAAGAACAATGTTAAGGCAGTTGATCGAATACGGCCTTTACTTGCACATAAGAACTACACTGAGCCACTGTCAAATCTGTGTACGCCACTAACCCCTCTCTTCAAGGTCGGCATCCTCAGGTAAGATAAATGTTTTTTAGTTTGATGATTCCAATCATTAAGAACACATATACATTTCAATATTATATCAAATTAAATTGTGCTCATACAGTCGTCGGTCATAATGTTCCTGATATGTGATCACACAATGCCATCTGTCTACCAAATTTGTTGTTGTGTTAGAAAAGGGAGTTTTTGGTTTAAGTGTATATTTTTTACTGCAGTAGGAAGTTTCTGCCAGTTTATTTTTCTTGTGTAGGGTGGATTCTGTTGAAGGATTCTGCCTGTATTTGTGGTAGCTATTCAGAAAAAGAGAAGGATAGTTGGGGCCCCTCATCAAAGATGCAGATACCTTGCCATTTTTTGGCAAAATATCTCAAGATCTGTTGTGCCAATTTTACAATGTTTCTTTAAAGAAAGTGCTTGGCTAAGAATGATTTTATGGTCTTGTGATCAAAGGTCAAGGTCACTTCCTATGAACTGAGAATTGGTTTCTACAAAATACTGTCAATTCTGTTTGGATACTTACACACAGACTCTCTTCTTTACTTTTTCTCTGGCTCTTCTGCTTTTCCTGTTCAGACGTCAAAAATCAACGTCACCATTACTATGAATACAAATGGGAATGTAAATAAAAAAAATTTGGAATGTTACTGGTAAATATTTACTCATGACAAATTGAACCATTATTGACTGAAATCAAATGAGAAGTTATCCAATCTCATGTCAAGGTCATTCGGTCAAAGATGAAGGTCAGGTTTGGAATATTTAAAATGCAGTCATCTCATTATGACATAACGAAACGTAAAAATCAAATGAGGAGTCGACTGACCATAGGACTTCAGGTCAAAGTTCAGATTTTCAATATTTTACAAATATTTCAGGTAAGATATTAAGGTCATATTTGAAACACTTTACTTAGTCAGGTAAATATTTTTATATAATGAAATGAAGTACAGTCAGACAGAATCAAATAAGAAGTTGTCCAACTACATGTCAAAATCACCAAGCTAAAGATGAAGGTCAAATGTGAAATATATAGTTATATATAGCTAGCAAATGATTGTGACTGTTGTAACACTCATGTGTATAGATGGTCACAATGCAAGGCCCTGTAACACTCATGTGTATGTATAGTTGGTCACAATGTAAGGCCCTGTAACACTCATGTGTATGTTTAGTTGGTCACAATGCAAGGCCCTGTAACACTCATGTGTATGTATAGTTGGTCACAATGCAAGGCCCTGTAGCACTCATGTGTATGTATAGTTGGTCACAATGCAAGGCCCTGTAACACTCATGTGTATGTAGAGTTGGTCACAAGGCAAGGCCCTGTAACACTCATGTGTATGTAGAGTTGGTCACAATGCAAGGCCCTGTAACACTCATGTGTATGTATAGTTGGTCACAATGCAAGGCCCTGTAACACTCATGTGTATGTATAGTTGGTCACAATGCAAGGCCCTGTAACACTCATGTGTATGTATAGTTGGTCACAATGCATGGCCCTGTAACACTCATGTGTATGTATAGTTGGTCACAATGCAAGGCCCTGTAACACTCATGTGTATGTATAGTTGGTCACAATGCAAGGCCCTGTAACACTCATGTGTATGTATAGTTGGTCACAATGCAAGGCCCTGTAACACTCATGTGTATGTATAGTTGGTCTGGTAATGCAAGGCCCTGTAACACTCATGTGTATAGTTGGTCACAATGCAAGGCCCTGTAACACTCATGTGTATGTAGAGTTGGTCACAATGCAAGGCCCTGTAACACTCATGTGTATGTATAGTTGGTCACAATGCAAGGCCCTGTAAAATTCATGTGTATGTATAGTTGGTCACAATGCAAGGCCCTGTAACACTCATGTGTATAGTTGGTCACAATGCAAGGCCCTGTAACACTCATGTGTATAGTTGGTCACAATGCAAGGCCCTGTAACACTCATGTGTATAGTTGGTCACAATGCAAGGCCCTGTAACACTCATGTGTATAGTTGGTCACAATGCAAGGCCCTGTGTTTTGATGGATTTTATTTTTATTTTTCAGACATGAAAAGTGTAATGTATGGGATGATTTAGTGGATTTTCTTAAATGATCTTTTTTAATCTGATTTAGACATGAGAAGTGTAAAGTGATGGATTCAAAGAAGAAACCTCTGTGGTTACACTGGACAAACGCTGATGAGAGAGGCCAGGATATACTCATTATGTACAAGAATGGAGATGGTTGGTAGACTAAGTGACAACATGTTATTCTACTGCCTAGTTTCTAAGAGGGGTGGGGGTAGGGCAAATACTAATTAATTAATTTGTGTCTGTCCATTGTCCATAGCAAAAGGCTTATTGTGTTTGTCTGTCCAATGTCCATAGCAAAAGGCTTATTGTGTTTGTCTGTCCAATGTCCATAGCAAAAGGCTTAGTGTGTTTGTCTTAGTGTGTTTGTCTGTCCAATGTCCATAGCAAAAGGCTTAGTGTGTTTGTCTGTCCAGTGTCAATAGCAAAAAGCTTGTTGCATGATATCTCATGAGCCCTGCAACAGAAATATTATAATCATATTCACAGTACAAATTCTCACTATCAAGTTTCACACTTGACACAATTTTGATGGTCCTAAGTCATGATGTTTAAGGATCAAAAGTCACATTTGATACATTATTTTACAGTAAGCAAATCAAGTAAGATGTATAATCACTTATATTTCTTGTTAATGGTTATCACTTGATATTGCTTTAATATTGTTCAATATTTAAACCGTTCAAAACCAGGTATTGAGTCTAAAATAGTCAAACTTATGTGAAAACCATAGAACATCATCTGAATTCATTTAAATATAACTATTAAATAGAATTGATTCTAAGGTCTTTTTCTGTGGTAACCCAGTATTTCACCCATTCATCTTTGAAGTATTATGTAATTTTCCATGTATTTTAGTAAAAATTAAATTTTTTTTATCCCAAAAAGTTCTTTTGTCCAAATATTGTAATTAAACAAAATCAGATGAAGGTTGTTTCCCTATGTTCTATTGCATTATTATGTTGTATGTTGATGTATTTTGTCTTGTACCACTGTGAAACTATATGTAGGAGAGGACTAGAATAGACTCAGTCTGATGTCCAAATCCTTTTTCATTTATTTTGTATGTCAGTGAAATTGTTGGAAATTAAAAACTCGCAGGAGAATTTGGTCACATGGTCCTAATCTTGTTTTGACAAGTACAGAAAATGTGTTCAGTTTTGAATGTTGACTGTCTGGCTGGCTGTTTGACTGACTATCTTGTAAGCTTTGTCGTTGTGTGATATCAGTTGTATGAACACCTACCAGAATGAAGGGAATTTTTGCACATGATTAGTATCTGAGGTGCTCCTGAACTTCAATTCAAGTGCCTGAAGGGTATCTGAGGTTGTGTTAATTGATGTAGTCACTGTTGCATCCAGTGTCAACTAGTTTCTTCATTTAATGAGTAATCAAGAGGCATAGTCATGATAATTTACCAGTAGCATACAAGGATTATGATAACATACTAGAAAGAAGGAGTATTAAACTTTGAACAAAGATAAAGTTGCCTGAATTAGCTGTTTCAATATTACAAAAACTTCCCTCAGTAAAGAAGTGGTCTTGTGCAAATGGGATTCTCTGTTTGGACTCAGGATTTTGCCTCTTTAGTTGGCTTGTTTTTGTACAAATATTCTTTTCAAGGTTAAAAAAAAAAGTAAAATTAAGGCTCAAGACCTCTTATTGATTATGTCAGTATGTGATTTTATTTAAACAGTTATATTAATTTAGCAGTTTTGTTAAGTCTTTTATATTTGTGTGTTACAGATCTCAGACAGGATATGCTTACATTACAAATGTTTACGATAATGGATAATATCTGGCGATCAGAGAACCTCGACCTCAGGTAAATCATATCATCTCATGGTCATGCGTTTTAAATCTGTCATCAAGCAGTGGATTCTGATCTTGGTAACATTTGTAAAAGTAACATTAGTGTATGTTGTAATACCCCCACAAGGTCATGATGACCTATAGTCATCATGCTTCGTCAGTCATCCACGTAAACTTTTGACATTTCAAAACTTCTTCTCAAGTTCAACTAGTGGGATTGAGCTAAACTGCCCATGATTTGAATGTATTTCATAGACAAAAGAATTTGTCTCATCGACTGAAGTTCTGACAAACAACAAAACTTTTGGAATATTATTTGCTTTACTCTTTATGAAAACCTTAATAAGTGTTCAGTAAGGTTGATCCTGTCATGATGGAAATCTGTATTGGAAGTCAGCTGATTGTTAAATTCTACATCTTATATTGTAGTTTAACGTGATTGAAAATTGAAAAAACCATGCATGGTGTCTGTCCGTTGTTGTGTAAATATATTCACTTTGTTTGTAATTGTTACTTGATTTACCTTGTTATTTATCCTCACAGGATGAACCCATACCAATGTGTTGCTACAGGCTTCATGGAGGGTATGATCGAGGTGGTACAGAATTCTGCCACCATTGCAAAGATCCAATCAAGCAAAGGCCAAAAATCTGCCTTCAACAAGACTTTATTGTTTGATTGGCTAAAACAGAAAAATCCACTGGAGGAAAAGTAAGTCTGTAACAGTACTTTTTAGGTCACCTGACATCATAGAAACTGCTACTGTTCTATAAAAGGGTTCTGTGGCTAATGTCAAACTGGAATTGAGAATTGCATACTTTTTAACAACCTCCCATCCCCCACCCTCCCCCACTCCCCTTCCCCCAACAAAAAAAATTAAAAAGAAAAAAATCTCAATGGAAGGAAAGATCCCAAAGTGGTCCCTGTTGCCATTTAGGGAATTGGTAAAAGATTTTGTAGTTTAAATTGGAGAATATCTTTTTACTGGTAATTTTTTGTTATTTTTAGTGAGATATAATTCAGCCTTTGTCAATTTTTTTGTTATTAGTTATCAGAATGATATTGTGAAAAACTAGATGTGATCCCACCCACAGAGGCATGAAAGGCTGGGCTCAAATGCAGAAATTATCGAGATACTGTATTAGACCTAAAAAAGTGTCCATGAAAAGAAATGTCCCAATGTGCTTTTTCTTATCATAAATTTCTGAACCCCATTAAGTCCTTTGTTGTTTACATTGCTTTATTTAGTCTCCTAAAAGCTGTGAAGGAGTTCACTTTGTCATGTGCTGGGTACAGTGTAGCTACTTACATACTTGGCATTGGGGATCGACATAATGACAACATCATGCTAAAGGAGTCGGGACAGGTAAGCAATGGACAATGGAAGATAATGTAGCCAGTTAGGTGATTTTGACATATATTATTGAATTTATTAACTGATTGAAGGAAATCTTTAGTAAGAGGTATTAACATGGACTCAGTGGGACGATGTATATGGGCAAGAATTCGCTAATGTAACCCTAAGTGTGACATTGAAAGAAAAAGATTGAAATATTCATAAGCCTACAAATTTTGTTTGAAGTATAACTTTAAATGGTGGCTTTCTATGTGTAACAAAAAAGATCATTTTGAAACTTACTTCAGTTAAGAACAAAGAGAATTAATGAATTTAGAGCATGTAACATTGACACTATTCCCAAACTATGATGGTTCTTTGACCTGTTTAAAGTTTAGTATTAGGTTTGTTTATCTCAAAACATTGTCCATCATCTCGACTTAAAAAATTGTATTTTTCAAATTGATCATGTATTTCAGAAATTCTGCGAAAACAGGTTTCCTCTTATTGTTCTGTCAATGTTACATGCAATTATTAAGAGATAAATATTATCAAAATTATGTTCTTGGTAAACAAGAAAAGTGATTTTTTAGTCCCCTGCCGGTGAAACTACAAAGGTCACTGTTACAAAAAAAAATAGAAATTGTTGTCACATTTTAGTTTCCGGACAATAACTTGAGAATGGATTGATGGATTTGGATGAAATTTGATACACTGGAAGCTTATAAATAATAAAACAAGACAATTCTGATACAGAACAAGTTCTACATTACTCGAAAAAATAATGTATTTATACTGCAATTAGATCATGGTTCCAACATATAAACTTGGATCCATAGTAAAAGGTTAGCTTATTGCAAACAGTTAAGTAGCATTTGCTCCCATTTGCTTTACAACAGAACATTGGTGGGCTTATTAGCAGGCATGGGCTTATTTGCTGATAAATACAGTAATTTATGGCAGGGGACTTGTGTTGCATGCAACAATAACTCTAAGTTTGTTCATTGTGTTACTGTCATATAAAGAAAATTCTATCAATATTTTTGCAACCTTCTCATTTCAGTAATAAAGTAGTTACACTTATGTTGCATGTAACATGGACACAAAAAATATGAATCATAAAGCATGCCAGAAATGCTATTAAAACACATAAAAAGCCCCCAATACACTATCTGTATGTAAATTATTATTATACTCCTACGTATCTCAAATATAATATCGTTTTAGTAGTCTCATGTAACATTGACACCAAAAACGTGCAACTTTTTATTTTCGGATCAAGGATAGGTACGGAAATAGTTTCCACCAAAAAATCGCTATCGTGAGGTCAAACCTGTTTCAAATACCAGATCTACTGGGGTTTTTTTGTTGAAAAATACAAAGAAAAAATCACACAACATTATCAAAGATCATATTTTACTCCGAATGTGTGCGTAACACTTTGTTACGTGATCAAAATTACCAGATTCCATGGTCTCCTCGAGTTCCTCTACATCGATAGACGCTATTTTGGAAAACTGCATAGTCACATGTTAACGTTACTGGGAACGGGTCGAAATATCGCGTCACACGATCTGTTACAGAAATACAACTGTTCTAAAGAGAGGGGGTATTTTATGGTAGTTTGGACCTGAAAATTAATTATATTTTATTACCTGATATATTTTCTGAACTCCAGGTGATTGATGAAAATTACGACAATCATATCATACCTTGAGTTGACACTTCGTAAATTTGCAAATGCCGTGTCGAAGACGCGTTTCCAAACAAATTTACTGAGGGAAACGTGCATGTAACGTTTGTTGATGCGAAAAGTTACGTACATTGGTCTATTTTCAATCCTATTTTTTTGCAGCATTAATCAAATCCTGTACAAAACGAGCGTTTTTATCGATAGACCAATCATTTTGCAATTGATTAATAACTTTAACAGCACCACAATTCTTCAGGCATTTAATAAATACGACTAGAAGTTTCACCACTGCAGAAATATCACACTTTTTGCCTATTATTTATCCACTGGCAGCGTACAACTTGTGCTGCTTCCTTGTCATTTAATCAATTAGATCAATTGTTTTTTCATATGAAGATAAAAATAAACCAACTTTAATAGTTAAACAATGTTTATTCTCCATACTTACATGAATTTGTTTGTTTTTTTATTGGATAAGCTACTTTGACACTAAAATTTCATTAGCGAATTCTTGCCCATATAGCACAACTATTGCCTAAATTTGGTCGGAAGGGAAATCATTGTTGTATAAACAGTGGTTCTTGGTCCCCTGGTGAAGAAGGGGCAAGGCACAATAAGATATAGAGCATGTTCTGTAAAATCTTACAGCTGCAGGAATGATTGGATTTTGCTTAAATTTGGTCAAAAGTATTCTTTGATAAAGTGAAATCAATTTTGTATAAATGGTAGGGTCTCAGACAGAGGGGATGTGCCCACAAACTGCCCGTTGAAAAACCATGAAAATTGAGCCTCATGAAAATATTGTATTTTACTGTGTGTCAAGGACAAATATTATAGGATCCATCGTTTATTGGATGTCATGTGTTTCTGGTACTTTAAAGTGACTATACTGTTGTTATTTTCATGCTTGATTGAAAGCATCAACAGTTATGACATGATACTTAATATTTACTTACCTGGAACTGTAGACTCTTGGCATTGTCATCTTGTCTTTTCCTATGCATTTACTTAATATATGTGGTTAATTTAAGCAAGTTACTTGATAGAACACTTATCCTTCATTTGTATATTACATAAACAAACCATAATGATAGTTAATATAAGGTGCGTGGTACCTGAGTGGCATTTATTTATGTATAGTGAATTTTCTAGTTCAGTAGCTTATATGTTTACCTTATAGAAAATGAAAGGAAAACGATTCCTTATCTGTTGTATGCATGTATTTTGTTCAACATTTAACTTATTTTTAGACTTTGAAGTTACTTTTGTCATGAAGACCCACTTTAAACATCCTGGATGTACAATCCAGAAATGAAAGACAGAATTTTGAAATTAAATGCGACTTACCTGTAAGGTGAAATTTGATTGTAATTCTATATGTATCCCTGTAAGTACAACTCACCAACCTTTCATTCCAACCCTGTTGGGTTTTCTTGCATAGAGTAGAAATGTACTGATTAGCCAACAGTGTATTGTATTATATTAGTTTCCCTTGTTAAGAGATTAGTGGTCACTATCAGCTTTGAAAAATGACCACTAACAGTGTTCATCTGTCTCTTGATTACATTGTACCTCTAGGAGTAAGGACAGAATCACTATCAAATTTCAACATACAAGTAAATCTCATTTAGTTTACAAACTTTGTTTGAGCTAGACAGGTTTTACTCTACTTTCAAGGATTGAATTGGTTGAATTTTGTAGCTATTCCATATTGACTTTGGACATTTCCTTGGAAACTTCAAAAGTAAATTTGGTGTGAAGAGAGAGCGTGTTCCCTTCATTCTGACAGACCACTTTGCATATGTCATCACTAAGGGGGAATGTATGATGGATAACTTTACTCAGTAAGTATCAAAAAAATGTTGGGTTGATATAATAGAACAGGAAACACAATGATTGTAAAATAATGGAAGAGTTGCACTATTTAAGAATGGAAAAGTTTAATGGTAAAATTGTAGAGTTTTATCATGAACTTCCCTTGCATTGCTAAGCAAATGATGGTAGAAATATGATGGCCATCTTGCATACTGAGGCAGATGCCATTGATGCTGACAAATGTATAACAATATGCCAAAATCGGACATCTGCCAGAAAAATGAAATCATCATGAGGGTCTCTGTGACTTGTTCCAATTCACTTTTCTCCCCTTTCCAGTCTAATCAGCTCGTTGGTTGTGTCAGATTATACATGTATATTGTTAAGCTACATACCTGGTAATTGGAAACTCTGATGCTTCTTGACAATGTCCCCTTTATGATCCACTACCGCAGTTTGTTAGTGAACAATTATATATTACCACTCACCAAATGATGATTTCCAGGTATGTAAACAAGGAATCAATATAAATGATTTTGACAATGATGGAAAGAAGCAATATGATTGGCTTTTGAGAAATTGATTGACAAGTTCAAACAGGAATGATCAGATGTTAGCTTTTGCAGAATTTCCCTCAACAAATCAGTGCTGCCATCACTGCAAAACTGAAATAATTTTACAACAGGGATTATATGCTTGTATTATGCTGGTGATAAGATCAGAAATTTTGATGTTCTAAAGGACAGGAAACCATCTAATTTCCAGCACCAAGTAGAAAATGAAAGCCAGCCTGCTGTCCACTAAAACAAAACTTAAATTTCTGATGCTCTAATACAGTACTGAACTCTAGTTAGTTAAAAATAATGAGGGATTGATGGTAGGCCCTGGTGCAATATACAGACAATCATTAGAATTACTTCTAGAATATTTATGTCAAACAGATAAATTCAATATAACAAACTTGATAAATGTTCTTTACATTAACATGCAAAATTTTAGAAAAAACACTTTATTCTATGGTCAAGAATCGTAAATTGTCTGTGATAACTTTGAATAATCATGATGAGATTGGAATTCAACAGATCATTTTGTACTAATAAGGAAATATTGTCAATATGTACATCTGTGACCGGTTTCACTTATCTTCCTTAACTTAAGGAAATTTTCACTACCATACAAAAGCATTACAATTTCAGGGGGGAAAAAAAATTAAATTCAAGGAAATTTTATTAACCTATGTAATGCTTTCCTATGGGCAATTTTAATTTAAGGAGAATTCTCAACTTAAGGAAGATTCATGAAACTGGGGCCTTATATAATCTACTTGACCCCGGGACTCCAAAATAAATCACTTCGAACCATGGTTCAGTCTTCTGTCTTTTACTGCTTAGCAGATTATTGATTAATTTCTATTGGGTAGAGAAGATTATTGATTAATTTCTATTGGGTAGAGAAGATAATTGATTAATTTCTGTTGGGTAGAGAAGATTATTGATTAATTTCTATTGGGTAGAGAAGATAATTGATTAATTTCTGTTGGGTAGAGAAGATTATTGATTAATTTCTATTGGGTAGAGAAGATTATTGATTAATTTCTATTGGGTAGAGAAGAGTATTGTTTAATTTCTATTGGGTAGAGAAGATTATTGATTAATTTCTATTGGGTAGAGAAGATTATTGATTAATTTCTATTGGGTAGAGAAGATTAGTGATTAATTTCTATTGGGTAGAGAAGATTATTGATTAATTTCTGTTGGGATTATTGATTAAGAAGATTATTGATTAATTTCTATTGGGTAGAAGAATTGATTATTTGATTAATTTCTATTGGGTAGAGAAGATTATTGATTAATTTCTATTGGGTAGAGAAGATTATTGATTAATTTCTATTGGGTAGAGAAGTATTGATTAATTTCTATTGGGTAGAGAAGATTATTGATTAATTTCTATTGGGTAGAGAAGATTATTGATTAATTTCTATTGGGTAGAGAAGATTATTGATTAATTTCTATTGGGTAGAGAAGATTATTGATTAATTTCTATTGGGTAGAGAAGATTATTGATTAATTTATATTGGGTAGAGAAGATTATTGATTAATTTCTGTTGGGTATAGCAGATTGTTGATTAATTTCTGTTGGGTATAGCAGATTGTTGATTAATTTCTGTGGGGTAGAGAAGATTATTGATTAATTTCTATTGGGTAGAGAAGATTATTGATTAATTTCTGTTGGGTAGAGAAGATTATTGATTAATTTCTATTGATTAATTTCTATTGGGTAGAGAAGATTATTGATTAATTTCTATTGGGTAGAGAAGATTATTGATTAATTTCTATTGGGTAGAGAAGATTATTGATTAATTTCTATTGGGTAGAGAAGATTATTGATTAATTTCTGTTGGGTAGAGAAGATTATTGATTAATTTCTATTCGGTAGAGAAGATTATTGATTAATTTCTATTGGGTAGAGAAGATTATTGATTAATTTCTATTGGGTAGAGAAGATTAGATTAATTTCTATTGGGAAGATTATTGATTAATTTCTATTGGGTAGAGAAGATTATTGATTAATTTCTATTGGGTAGAGAAGATTATTGATTAATTTCTGTTGGGTAGAGAAGATTATTGATTAATTTCTATTGGGTAGAGAAGATTATTGATTAATTTCTATTGGGTAGAGAAGATTATTGATTAATTTCTATTGGGTAGAGAAGATTATTGATTAATTTCTGTTGGGTAGAGAAGATTATTGATTAATTTCTATTGGGTAGAGAAGATTATTGATTAATTTCTATTGGGTAGGGAAGATTATTGATTAATTTCTGTTGGGTAGGGAAGATTATTGATTAATTTCTGTTGGGTAGGGAAGATTATTGATTAATTTCTATTGGGTAGTGAAGATTATTGATTAATTTCTATTGGGTAGAGAAGATTATTGATTAATTTCTATTGGGTAGAGAAGATTATTGATTAATTTCTATTGGGTAGAGAAGATTATTGATTAATTTCTATTGGGTAGAGAAGATTATTGATTAATTTCTATTGGGTATAGCAGATTATTGATTAATTTCTATTGGGTAGAGAAGATTATTGATTAATTTCTGTTGGGTAGAGAAGATTATTGATTAATTTTGATTAATTTCTGTTGGGTATAGCAGATAATTGATTAATTTATGTTGGGTAGAGAAGATTATTGATTAATTTCTATTGGGTAGAGAAGATTATTGATTAATTTCTATTGGGTAGAGAAGATTATTGATTAATTTCTATTGGGTAGAAGATTATTGATTAATTTCTATTGGGTATTATTGATTAATTTCTGTTGGGTAGAGAAGATTATTGATTAGAGAAGATTATTGATTAATTTCTATTGGGTAGAGAAGATTATTGATTAATTTCTATTGGGTAGAGAAGATTATTGATTAATTTCTATTGGGTAGAGAAGATTATTGATTAATTTCTATTGGGTAGAGAAGATTATTTATTAATTTATGTTTGGTATAGAAGATTATTGATTAATTTCTATTGGGTATTGAGAAGATTATTGATTAATTTCTGTTGGGTATTATTGATTAATTTCTATTGGGTAGAGAAGATTATTGATTAATTTCTATTGGGTAGAGAAGATTATTGATTAATTTCTATTGGGTAGAGAAGATTATTGATTAATTTCTATTGGGTAGAGAAGATTATTGATTAATTTCTGTTGGGTATAGCAGATATTGATTAATTTCTATTGGGTATTGATTAATTTCTATTGGGTAGAGAAGATTATTGATTGATTTCTATTGGGTATAGCAGATAATTGATTAATTTCTATTGGGTAGAGAAGATTATTGATTAATGGGTTCAGATAATTGATTAATTTCTATTGGGTAGAGAAGATTATTGATTAATTTCTATTGGGTAGAGAAGATTATTGATTAATTTCTATTGGGTATTGATTAAGAAGATTATTGATTAATTTCTTTTGGGTAGAGAAGATTATTGATTAATTTCTATTGGGTAGAGAAGATTATTGATTAATTTCTATTGTGTATAGAAGATTATTGATTAATTTCTATTGGGTAGGGATTAGATTGGAAGATTATTGATTAATTTCTATTGGGTAGATTAGATTAATTTCTGTTGGGTAGATTATTGATTAATTTCTGTTGGGTAGAGAAGATTATTGATTAATTTCTGTTGGGTAGAGAAGATTATTGATTAATTTCTGTTGGGTAGAGAAGATTATTGATTAATTTCTGTTGGGTATAGCAGATAATTGATTAATTTCTGTTGGGTAGAGAAGATTATTGATTAATTTCTATTGGGTATAGCAGATTATTGATTAATTTCTATTGGGTAGAGAAGATTATTGATTAATTTCTGTGGGGTAGAGAAGATTATTGATTAATTTCTATTGGGTAGAGAAGATTATTGATTAATTTCTATTGGGTATAGCAGATTATTGATTAATTTCTGTGGGGTAGAGAAGATTATTGATTAATTTCTATTGGGTATAGCAGATTATTGATTAATTTCTATTGGGTATAGCAGATTATTGATTAATTTCTGTGGGGTAGAGAAGATTATTGATTAATTTCTATTGGGTAGAGAAGATTATTGATTAATTTGTATTGGGTATAGAAGATTATTGATTAATTTTATTGGGTAGGGAAGATTATTGATTAATTTATGTTGGGTATGGAAGATTATTGATTAATTTCTATTGGGTAGGGAAGATTATTGATTAATTTCTGTTGGGTAGGGAAGATTATTGATTAATTTCTATTGGGTAGAGAAGATTATTGATTAATTTCTGTTGGGTAGAGAAGATTATTGATTAATTTCTGTGGGGTAGAGAAGATTATTGATTAATTTCTATTGGGTAGAGGGTAGAGAAGATTATTGATTAATTTCTGTTGGGTAGAGAAGATTATTGATTAATTTCTATTGGGTAGAGAAGATTATTGATTAATTTCTGTTGGGTAGAGAAGATTATTGATTAATTTCTGTTGGGTAGAGAAGATTATTGATTAATTTCTGTTGGGTAGAGAAGATTATTGATTAATTTCTATTGGGTAGAGAAGATTATTGATTAATTTCTATTGGGATTATTGATTAATTTCTATTGGGTATAGCAGATTATTGATTAATTTCTATTGGGTAAAGAAGATTATTGATTAATTTCTATTGGGTAGAGAAGATTATTGATTAATTTCTATTGGGTAGAGAAGATTATTGATTAATTTCTAGAGAAGATTATTGATTAATTTCTATTGGGTAGAGAAGATTATTGATTAATTTCTATTGGGTATTAGAAGATTATTGATTAATTTCTGATTATTGATTAATTTCTATTGGGTAGAGAAGATTATTGATTAATTTATTTTGGGTAGAGAAGATTATTGATTAATTTCTGTTGGGTAGAGAAGATTATTGATTAATTTCTATTGGGTAGAGAAGATTATTGATTAATTTCTGTTGGGTATAGCAGATAATTGATTAATTTCTGTTGGGTAGAGAAGATTATTGATTAATTTCTGTTGGGTAGAGAAGATTATTGATTAATTTCTGTTGGGTATAGCAGATAATTGATTAATTTCTATTGGGTAGAGAAGATTATTGATTAATTTCTATTGGGTAGAGAAGATTATTGATTAATTTCTGTTGGGCAGAGAAGATTATTGATTAATTTCTGTTGGGTAGAGAAGATTATTGATTAATTTCTATTGGGTAGAGAAGATTATTGATTAATTTCTGTTGGGTAGAGAAGATTATTGATTAATTTCTATTGGGTAGAGAAGATTATTGATTAATTTCTGTTGGGTATAGCTATTGGGTAGAGAAGATTATTGATTAATTTCTATTGGGTAGAGAAGATTATTGATTAATTTCTATTCGGTAGAGAAGATTATTGATTAATTTCTATTGGGTAGAGAAGATTATTGATTAATTTCTGTTGGGTAGAGAAGATTATTGATTAATTTCTATTGGGTAGAGAAGATTATTGATTAATTTCTATTGGGTAGAGAAGATTATTGATTAATTTCTATTGGGTAGAGAAGATTATTGATTAATTTCTGTTGGGTAGAGAAGATTATTGATTAATTTCTGTTGGGTAGAGAAGATTATTGATTAATTTCTGTTGGGTATAGCAGATAATTGATTAATTTCTGTTGGGTAGGGAAGATTATTGATTAATTTCTGTTGGGTAGGGAAGATTATTGATTAATTTCTATTGGGTAGAGAAGATTATTGATTAATTTCTGTTGGGTAGAGAAGATTATTGATTAATTTCTATTGGGTAGAGAAGATTATTGATTAATTTCTATTGGGTAGAGAAGATTATTGATTAATTTCTGTTGGGTATAGCAGATTGTTGATTAATTTCTACTGGTGATACCCAAGAAAACCAGAGTTATGGGGTGGGATTATAGATTTTTTACTGAAATAGCTCTAATAGTTTTATTTGATTTTTTTGCACATAGTTGATTGGTTTAGTCTTGATACCCTCACATTGAAATATTTAAGGTCAGTTTCATATCATTAATTGTTACAAAATGCTGTCTTTTGCATTGAGACTCTATCCAGGTCTTTTGATTATTTAAATATAAATAAGAGATTGTTTAACAAACAAATAAATTGTTCTTGTGAGATATATGAGAAATAATCGTTATTTCTTCATAGGTTCCAGAACACTTGTGTGGAAGCCTACCTGATCATCCGACGGAAAGGCCCACTTCTCATACGTCTGTTTATGATGATGATCATGGCGGGTATTCCGCAGCTGACTAGTGTAAACGATGTGGAATACCTGAAAGAAACATTGGTCCTCCATCTCGATGAAGAAGAGGCAAAAGAACATTTTCTTCAGAAATTTCAGGAAGCCATCAATAACAGCTGGAAAACCAGTGTTAATTGGTGGATTCATTTAAGGGCCCATTAACATGAAATCTTTCGTCCTAGATTAATGTAATGACCTTTACTCTAGAGTAGATCTGGAGTAATACTAGCATTTTCTGAGATGAATCCTGTCAGTCCTGCTTTGTTCTGAGGGCGAGGCATGATGATATATAAATGTTCAAAGACATGTGAATTATGTTAGGATTTATCAGCTATACAGTACTGTTGATAGGAATAATCTCCAGTAGAATAATTTTGGAGAAAATGCAGAGAGAGAAATGTGGTTTACTAAATGAAGAAAAAAATTTAAATGCTCTCAGATATGACATTTTAAAAGTACCAGTGATAATTGATTTGATACAGGTAAATTCTTTATGCATAGTGCATCAAATCATAGTTGTTAATGGTGAATTTGTAACAACACCAGTTCTGTTAGTTAACATTCCATTTCAAATAGAGTTTTCAAGGGAATTTATCCTTTGTTGTGATAGTAATGATGCTTTTGACATTTTTTATTCACATAAAGTGATGGTAAAATGGTCAAATTAACCACAACTGTGATGTGTCTGGGATATTAATACATTGTACACCATGTACTCGACTGACTGACAAAACACTGATTATCCTGTTTGAGACAAATTAGAATGATAGGTATCTGTATTATGCCGAACTTCAACACTAGCTACGTTATTGGAGAAGCAGGTGTTCTCAGTAAGCATATGTGCTAGAAAATATCTTAGATTATTGAAGAGTGTGTGACTGTTGTTTTTCCAAAATATACTGAGAGTCTAAGACTGGAGAACACCATTCTCAGGATTGTAGGAGGACTTCCTGGTTAGGTTGTTTTCCATGATGTCACATTCTAGGTCATGCTTTTCTATCATTAACAAAAAAAAACATTTATTTAGAGTTGCTTTATTTCATAGCCACTTTGTTAAAGTGACTTACCTATTTGAAATGAGAAACTTAGAATAGTTCTTATAACACAACCCGGAGAAGATTTGAGTGTGACATTTTGATTACTACATGGTCACTTTCATCAGACAAATCACCAGTGTGGTGCGAACTGGTACAGAGGTATATAAAGTTTATGTGATGGTAACAAATGAACCTACTGATTCGACTGTACTATAATTCTATGACCATGTAGTCATAGAAACGTCACATGCCAATCTTCTACTGGTTGTGTTAAAAGAACTCTAATCCTTCACAAAATTTTACTTATTTCTATGACGCATGTATCACAATGTCTTTCTAATTGATGTTTTAGACTAAATGGCTTAATATGCTTATATATTGTTACTATATATAGAAAATTGTTACTATATATAGAAAATTGTTACTATATATAGCCATATTTGACAACATTGTGTACTATATTGTACATTGATTGTTAAACATTGCTTGACATAAAACACTGTATTAATGTATACGTACCTGTTAACACAATATCTGTATATAACGTTACTGACATTCATTCCAGGTGTGTGTAAATCAGGAAATATTTTATATTTTGTTTCTGCTCAAAGCAATGATAATTACTTCATACAAGTTTATATGTTGAAGTACAGATGTTGGTACAATGTTAATATACAACGAAGGTACCATGATATAACATATTCTTCATGAATTATTAATGCAGATGTGATTCTGAAGTTCTATTACAATAAGATATTGTACATTTTAGAATTAAGATATAGAGTATTTGAACATTGTCTTGTGTAAACCTTAATCTTATGTGAGCAAGCAATCAGACATAGCTTATAAAAGCCTTCTCATAGCCATAAGAATTGGGTAAAGCTTACAGAAGCCCACTCCAAGCCATAATGTTTGAGTGAAGCTTATAAATTCCAACTCGGTGCCATAATCTTTGTGTGAAGCTTATAAAACCCCTCTCAGGGTCATAATGTTTGGGTGAAGCTTATAAAAGCCCTCTCAGAAAGTTTTGGGCTAATTTGTTATGTAGATATTGAAAATGTGGCAAGAATTTACTTATTTTCCCACTATACTCGTTATTTTTCTTGTGGCAGACTTATTTTTGTTGGATGGTCATTTTTACCTTTCATGATATTCTTTAGCATACATTTACATATTGTGTACTTCTTTATCAATCAAGCCATATTGTAAAATGCATATAGATGATTCCATCTAGGATTTTTTTGCTGAGAATTGTCAAGAACATCATTGAAATTTGCATCGTTATGCTAATTAGGGATATCTGAATTTGCATGTATATGTTTTCCTGTCTTTATCTGGCCCAGTGAATAAGCAAAGTACAAATTTATACATCTGTCTTTATCATTTGAAGAGAAACAAACACTGCACATTTGTTGATTGTGTGGTCATAAACAAAGATATTAAGATACAATGTATTGGAGAAGATGCTAAATACAAGAAATAATGTGTATACATGTAGCTATTGGATATCCACAAACAGTTTTACCCTCAAGATTATGTCTTTGGTTCAAATTAAAAGTGAAAGTAGCCACTAATTTGTCATTTCATAATGCACTATCTGACACAAGTCTAATGTTTGAATACCATGTTTCATTGTTTTGGTACTAACAAATTGTAATGTAAAAGAATTATAGGGAGAAGCAAGGTGCTTGATTGTTGTAAACTACTAGTATAAAGACAGTATTTAAAAATGACTGATGAGCTTTAAATTGACAGTATTAAGATTACTACCAGGTTTGTTAAATTTGAAGTGACTATGCATATGAATTAGGAGATGGTGCTATCAGAGAGGGTTTTTTGTATGTTTTATGAGATTATTTCATATATGCAATTACTGTACTCATTAAATGAAAATTATTTTTTTAACTTTCTTATAGCCTGAAGGACTTGTTTTATTGGCAGTTCTTTATTTTCATTTTCAATTCTGATAGATATTATATATGATTTTTCCAAAAATCATTCATCGTATAATCAGTTTCGTGAAGCAGGTAAGCCTCATTCTGATAACTTGTTATAAGTATAGTGTTTGAGGTATGGTAACTCTTTCTTAACAAAAGTTGGCTGGTTTAATATGTGTTACTTCGGTGGATATTTGATACAGGGGAACATGACATGGCTCTGTATCAGGTACTGACAGGCAATGGTTACAACATTTTCAGAGAAGTCCTTGCCATTCTTGCAGAAGGTTTTTGATACATTGCTTTTATATGGAAAAAGTCCTCACTTGTTGATGGATAAACATGCCTCTGTTAAATCAACATTTCATATGTATTAGCTGTTTATTGATCTGAATCTTCACCCTAGTGTTAGAAAGTTGGGAACTGACGAATAACATACATCTTCAGATTTTGGATGACATGAAATTTTAATGAAATGTGAATATATACTGATACATGTTGAATGAAGGACCTATACAAAATCTGAATTACGGACTAACTTTTAATGACTGACTTTGTTGCTCAAGTTCTTGATTTTGAGATTTTGATATCACTTATGTTTTTTTGGCCAATATTCAATACTGCCTAATCTAGATGTTTCCAATATTTTTCTTCGATATCCACATCTTCAATTAAAATTCAAAATTCAAGTACAGTGCTTTGAGAGACCAGTTTTTCTGTCATTGAGGAATCATTATACCAGGCCTGATATAACATGAATTTTAAGTTTACCTCGTATGAAGAACTAGTGAGCCATATTGCATTGTCCATTGTCCAAATTTTGTCAGAAACATATAAATGGTGGATCTTGGCCCTAAGGAGGAATTTTCTTCTTTTGTAGAAATGACTGGATTCTAGCTGTCCCAATTTGGTTTGAAGTGTCCTTAGTTAAATGGGAATCAGTTTCATATTCAAATGTATACAGTAGATCTCTATACCCCAGGGGCAGGGGGGAGGTGCCAAATAGGAGAAAAGAGTGCAAAATTCTTTTAAATTCCTTTTCTGTAAGAAGGAGAGTAAACTATATAAAAAGTGGGTCTCTGCCAACGGGCAAGAAAGGCCGGGTCATATAGAGGAAACACAGTGTATTCATTAAAATACATTTAAAACGCCATCAAAACTTTTGATGGGACATATTATGGTATGATGTTGCCTTCCACAGTTTCCAACCAATCTATTTCAAACTTGATAGGGTTAATCACCATGACATGAAGTTATAGTTTCCTGGATGTTTGAGTTTTATCAACTTTATTGGAAGAGTTACTGCCCCTTGTTGACTATACAGTGTTAATCTTGTCCTTGGATCTCCTCTTTCAGCTTTCCTGATGAAAGGGACTCAATTTTATGCAAATCTTTTAATAGTTTGTAGAGAATATGGGAATTAGTGGTAAAAGTTTCTAATATTTTTCTTCTGCATAGAGTCAGTATTTTATTGAAATCTGGTTTTTGAGTGTGAAAATTAATCATCTTTTTGGAAAATTTAACAATAGAATTGTTGCTTCAATGTTTTAAGTGAAAGATGAAATATACAGGAGAGTGATGCAGGCACCATGGACCTCTTGTTGACTGTAAAATAGACATCCAAATTATGTATGACTTAAATGAAAATCTATTATTACTAACACAATGACAATAACACAATGTGTTTAGAGGAAATGATAAAATTATAACTTATTATAATCATATACAACCGAGTCATCTCTAGCATTGTCAACGGTTGACAAGCTGTCATCTCACGAAGTCTTTCTTATGTGGTATAAGCTAAGGGTAAAAGAATCATCAATTTGTTTTCATTTCATATGAGATTTTATAAGACTTGTTACGAGGGTAAGCAAAGATAAATACTAGTTTATTCAAATCTCATGAAATGAAAACTTATTTAAGTTCCTGTGTGTATTGTTAATTACCTTGCTATTTTTGAGTGTTAATAATCATATATAAGTTTTTTTCATATAAAGAAGTTTATTGTCATCATTCCCTTTTGTAATACTTATGATTTTCTATTCATTATTATCACTCCAGTACTGTCTATCACATTCCAATATAATTGCAAACAATGTGAGAACTTGAATTTTATTCACTTTAATAATTATGCAAAAGTGAAAAATATAGAGATGTTATGATTTAGATATAAAAGAATATTCCACATTATCCTTACTGATAGATGATACAAAGATTTCAGTATATCACATGTAATATGACATAATATCAAGAAATTTTAATGAATGAAAGTGGTTTCCTCTGATGGTAACTTATTCAAACGAATTAATTGAAAAATATTTATATCTTATTTAGATAGAAGAAAATCATGTTGTGCATTCAAAGAGTGTTATTTGTACTCCAACCGTGGAATTTGATTTCCTTTTCATCTGAATTTGATATACAGTTTGGTATATAATGTTTGAGGTAACTGAGTCTGCTGATGGCTTTTTTATGTTATTTTTGGCATCTTTTCTGTCTAACACACCAAAGTTGAACTTGCTGTAAAAACGTTTTGGATAATTCAGCTACTACCTTATCGCAGGTTATTTTTGTGGGGACAATATTTCACGTAATGTGTGTGTGCTAAGGAAATGCTACGGATAACACTTTGAAAACGCTTAAAAGATGTCAATCAATAAATAACCTGGTTTTTATAGAAAATGTGTTTTGATTTTGTTAAAAACATGATACTGATGCTTGTTACAAATAAATCTGTAATATGGGTCCTGTGACTAATCCAAATATATATTTTGTTAAAAAAGATTTATACAATATTTTTAGCCCACCATCATCAGATGGTGGGGTATTCAAATCGCCAAGCATCTGTGGTCCGTGGTCCGTCCGTCCGTCCGTAAACAATTCTTGTTACCGCTATTTCTGGGAAAGTACTGGATGAATCTTTCTCAAATTTCATATGCAGTTTCCCCTTGGTCCCTAGTTGTGCATTGTACCTTTTTTGGACTGATTTGAATTCAAGATGGCCGACAGGCAGCCATCTTGGATTTTGGAAGTAAAAGTTTGTTACCGCTATATCTGGGAAAGTACTGGATTGATCTTTCTCAAATTTCATATGCAGTTTCCCCTTGGTCCCTAGTTGTGCATTGTACCTTTTTTGGACTGATTTGAATTCAAGATGGCCGACAGGCAGCCATCTTGTATTTTGGAAGTAAAAGTTTGTTACCACTATTTCTGGGAAAGTGCTGGATGGATCTTTCTCAAATTTCATATGCAGGTTTCCCTTGGTCCCTAATTTTGCATTGTACCCATTTGGACTGATCTGAAATCAAGATGGCTGACAGGCAGCCATCTTGGATTTTGAGAGTAAAATCTTGTTACCACTATTTCTGAGGAAGTACTGGATGGATACTTCTGATATTTCATAGGTATTGGTTTCCCTTGGTCCCTAGTTGTGCATTGTACTTTTTTGGACGGATTTAAAATCAAGTTGGCCCACAGGCAGCCATCTTGGATGTCGACAGTAATACAGCACAAGCATATTTTTAGCCCAACATCATCAGATGGTGGGGTATTCAAATCGCCCTGCCGTCCCTGGTCCGTCGTCCGTCCGTCCGTCCGTAAACAATTCTTGTTACCGCTATTTCTGGAAAAGTACTGGATGGATCTTTCTCAAATTTCATATGCAGGTTCCCCTTGGTCCCTAGTTGTGCGGGCTAGTAGATGCCCTTTTACATCCAGATTGTGAGTGTTTAATTGACTTTCATATAATTTGGTGGTTGTTAAAAGAAAATCTCGAACATTTTGACACAAAAATTACCAGGTATACAGTTTTTTAAAAATGATCTATGTAAATACTTCAAGAGAAGTGCTGGATAATCAGTTCATTTAATCTGTAATTTGAAGCAAGAGGGAAATCAGAAGAAATTCTTGAAAAAATGTGTTTCTGGTATTTCGAAATGTAAGAACATTTTCATAGTGTTTCTTATTTGAAAAAACACTTCTAACAAATTGTTCCCCTTCATTTAGTTGGTCTTGTTTGTAGTAGATTGTATAAACAATTAAATCAATACTAATGAATACCAATGGTAATGTGGTAGTGATATCTTCAGCTAATAGGTATTTCATTCATTGGTTTGGAGGATTTCAAATGATCCAACAGTGTAGATAATATATAGATGTACCATTTATCTTTCTGTCCTGTTGTTGTTGTTGTTGTAATAAATGCCCAGTGTATAATCTATATCAACGTAATACGTTTTGCTTTTGTTGTGTAGGTAAAGACAAAAGTCATTAATCTCCATGTGCAAGACATAGGCAACAAAAATTATAGGTTAAATGATGCATAACTCATTCTGAACAATAGGTCTTTGTTTTTTGTTTGTCATTGTCAACTATATGGATACTTGTGTATGTTTCAAGTTTGTTACATTTTAGTATTAAATTATATGCAAACCCAAGTGAGTGCCTATTTACTAAGGTGTAGATCAGGCCCTCTGTTCTCTGAACATTATACATTATCATTCCAAATAAACACATGATTTCTGTTTATTGTCTTCGACTCTTTATTGTAAACTCATATATCAAAACCCACAAAATAGAGAATACATATATTTCATCACAGTCAATATTTATAATTATACCAAATATAAACACAAAGGTTTAAATAAAATTATCCCAATTAGATATATATTATATAGCGTTGGAGGCCAAACATGATGGCATTGATCTGGATGTAAAAAGTAAACATGTTGAATCTTGGGAAGAAACAACAGAGGATGGAACAGAGGCGAAGTATAATGAATATACAAAGCATGCCTAAAAGTCAATAATGAATAGAAATAAGGTAATACATATAAAGGTAAACCCTCCAATAATGTAAAAACAGGCAGGTATTATATAACCAATGGAAATAAGGTAAACCCTCCAATAATGTAAAAAAAGGCAGGTATTATATAACCAATGGAAATAAGGTAAATCCTCCAATAATGTAAAAAAAAGGCAGGTATTATATAACCAATGGAAATAAGGTAAACCCTCCAATAATGTAAAAACAGGCAGGTATTATATAACCAATGGAAATAAGGTAAACCCTCCAATAATGTAAAAAAAAGGCAGGTATTATATACCAATAGAAGAGACTTAAAGTCTAACTTAATATAGTACATCATAGCTTGCTAACACCTATTAAAACAATTATCACGTGATAAAAAAAGTCCCTCAAACTGCGGATCCCTTGATTAAAAGGATTGATGTATGTGACATATATATAGTACAATGTTCAAAGACATAGTATGGCCAGAGACATATATAATACATGTGATATAGACGTCTCTGGTGTAGCCAATTACTGACAGGTTGATTCATGTTCATTATTGTAAAGTTGAATCATGAGTATGGCGTATAAGTTTAATAACCACATGTATCTCTTTTTTTATTATTTTTTTTCTTAAATCATCAGCTCGTTTGATGTGGGATACAAAATAGGATATGAAATCAAGTACAAATTGGGCAACAAATTTGATTTGTTTACAAGAGTCTCGGTCAAAGTAAAATAATTACAGATTACAACATGTATATTCATGAAATAGATGATTATGTTGCATTTCTTCAAGCTCCTTGCTTTTTACACATTCATATTTTTCATACAATATGAGATTTGTGTTGGTGTATTTTAATCCTGCAAGTTTCTGGTCCTTCCTGTTAGTGTAGACCGGAGCTCTGACAGCGTCCTTTTTTTCAACAAGGTGATTTAATCGCCCTCTGAAGATATAAAAAGCGCACACATAAAATAGTTGCAATCACTGGAGCATGGCATGTTATCTATTTCTTGATGAATATATCTCATATTCTCATATAAAACTTCGAAAATGATTTAAAAAAGAGAGTAATAGACATAGTCATGTGACATCAAATCCTATATTTTCATATGTTTAAACAGAGAAATGACATCGGTTCTCACTAGATAAAAATAAACAAACTAGCGAGATATACAATCAAATAAGAAAGAATATTCCAAATGATTGTGACAATTATAAACACGTTTGTCATTGATCTGCATCTCGCTTCCTTGTTTAATGTTTCTAGTTCAAAATTTTGTATTTGTTATCAGTCGACTTTAAAATGTATCCGTAATTATTAGACATCTACCACATACCGAATGAACTTTAGACAATAAATTAAAAAAAATACGCCGTCAATTGTATCAAAAGAATCCATCAATGTTACGGCAAATAAAACATGATCATATATACATGTAATGAAGGCTGAAAACCTACCATAATACAAGGAAACGAAAATAGATTTCAACTCATGATAACTACTTTGGGGACCACTGAAGGAGTACAGGATGAATTACTCTCTGTTCTTTCTCGTTTCTGCCCAATTATTTCCATTCGTACACACATTTATTAGTACGCGTCTTCTTTTAATAAAGCCATCTTAACACAGGGATTGTTGAATGATTAAAATAGATTTCATTTCAACGAATTGTATGTAACATGCGTTTCAAAACATTAAAATGCATGTATATGTTTGTTTAATTTATTTGAATTAGTTGAAGCATTTAATATGGTGGAGGGAGGATGGTAGAGGTTAGGTGATAGATGGAAAATGCTTTTATTACATTCAACGGGTCATAACTCACTCTAATCACGTGCTTGGTAAATGGATTGCGGGCAATAAACTTCAATAAACCCTGTCGTTTGAAGTTGATTATAAGACAGACAGAAACTTGTTGGTTTGAATTGTCACACACAAAATACCAAAAAAAACGCTCGCTGATAAAGGCTCCACTTACAATACAAACCGATGTTAAACAAATTTCAGAAGTTTCTCATGAAACAAAAGTACATTTGTACTTTATATTATCTGATGATACAAAATGTAGTACCCTCTAGAGGGGAATGGTAGAGGGTGGGGGTAGAGGGTAGAGGGAGGATGGTAGAGGTTAGGTGATAGATGGTGGAGGGAGGATGGTAGAAGATTGGGGATATATATGGTGGAGGGAGGATGGTAGAGGTTAGGTGATATATGGTGGAGGGAGGATGGTAGAGGTTTGGGGATATATATGGTGGAGGGAGGATGGTAGAGGTTAGGTGATATATGGTGGAGGGAGGATGGTAGAGGTTAGGTGATAGATGGTGGAGGGAGGATGGTAGAAGTTTGGGGATATATATGGTGGAGGGAGGATGGTAGAGGTTAGGTGATATATGGTGGAGGGAGGATGGTAGAGGTTAGGTGATAGATGGTGGAGGGAGGATGGTAGCGGTTCGGTGATATATGGTGGAGGGAGGATGTTAGAAGTTTGGGGATATATATGATGGAGGGAGGATGGTAGAGGTTAGGTGATAGATGGTGGAGGGAGGATGGTAGAGGTTAGGTGATAGATGGTGGAGGGAGGATGGTAGAGGTTAGGTGATAGATGGTGGAGGGAGGATGGTAGAAGATTGGCGATATATATGGTGGAGGGAGGATGGTAGAGGTTAGGTGAGAGATTGTAGAGGGATGATGGTAGAAGATTGGGGATATATATGGTGGAGGGAGGATGGTAGAGGTTAGGTGATAGATGGTGGAGGGAGGATGGTAGAAGTTTGGGGATATATATGGTGGAGGGAGGATGGTAGAGGTTAGGTGATAGATGGTGGAGGGAGAATGTTAGAAGTTTGGGGATATATATGGTGGAGGGAGGATGGTAGAGGTTAGGTGATAGATGGTATAGAGTAGAGGGAGGATGGTAGAGGTTAGGGGATAGGATGGTAGAGGTTAGGTGATAGATGGTGGAGGGAGGATGGTAGAAGTTTGGGGATATATATGGTGGAGGGAGGATGGTAGAGGTTAGGTGATATATGGTGGAGGGAGGATGGTAGAAGATTGGGGATATATATGGTGGAGGGAGGATGGTAGAGGTTAGGTGATAGATGGTGGAGGGAGGATGGTAGAGGTTAGGTGATATATGGTGGAGGGTAGATGGTAGAAGATTGGGGATATATATGGTGGAGGGAGGATGGTAGAGGTTAGGTGAGATAGATGGTGGAGGGATGGTGGTAGGGAGGATTAGGTGATATATGGTGGAGGGAGGATGTTAGAAGTTTGGGGATATATATGGTGGAGGGAGGATGGTAGAGGTTAGGTGATAGATGGTGGAGGGAGGATGGTAGAAGATTGGGGATATATATGGTGGAGGGAGGATGGTAGAGGTTAGGTGATAGATGGTGGAGGGAGGATGGTAGAAGATTGGGGATATATATGGTGGAGGGAGGATGGTAGAGGTTAGGTGATAGATGGTGGAGGGAGGATGGTAGTTAGGATTAGGTGATATATATGGTGGAGGGAGGATGGTAGAAGTTAGGTTAGGGTATGGGGATATATATGGTGGATTAGAGGGGATAGATGGTAGGATGGTAGAGGTTATATGGTGTTTGGTATATGGTGGAGGGAGGATAGAAGATTGGGGATATATAGTTGATATTAGGTGAGATATGGTAGAAGGAAGAGGGAGGGTGGTAGTGGATGAGGATATATGATAAATTGTTGAGAGTAGAGGGAGGATGGTAGAGGATGGGGATAGATGGTAGTGGGTTGAGGGTAGAGCGAGGATGGCAGAGAATAGGGGATATATGGTGGAGGGTTGAGAGCAGAGGGAGGAGGGTAGAGGATGGGGATAGACGAAAGATGGTTTAGAATAGAGGGGGGATGGTAGAAAATTGGGGATAGATGGTAGAGGGTAGAGAGTAGAGGATAGATGTCAGAGGGTAAAGGGAGGATGGTAGAGGATAGCGAATAGATGATGATAGAGGGTTGAGAGTAGAGGGAGGAGGGTAGAGGATAGGGGATAGACGAAAGATGGTTTAGAATAGAGGGGGATGGTAGAGGATTGGGGATAGATGGTAGAGGGTAGAGAGTAGAGGAAGGATGGTAAAGGATGGGGGATAGATGATAGAGGTTTGAGAGTAGAGGGAGGATCGGGGATAGATGGTAGAGAGTTGAGAGTAGATGGAGGATGGTAGAGGATGGGGGATAGCTGCTAGAGTGTTGAGAGTAGAGGGAGGATGGTAAAGGACAAGAGATAGACAATAAAGGGTTGAGAGTAGAAGGAGGATGGTAGAGGATGGGGGATAGATGATAGAGGGTAGAGAAAGGATGGTTGAGGATGGGGGATAGATGGTAGAGGGTTGAGAGTACAGGGAGGATGGTAGAGGATAAGAGATAGACAATAGAGGTTTGGGAGTATAGGGAGGATGGTAGAGGATGGGGATAGATTGTAGAGGGTTTAGAGTAGAAGGAGGATGGTAGATGATGGGGGATAGATGATAGAGGGTAGAGAAAGGATGGTAGATGATGAGGCATTGATGGTAGAGAGTTGAGAGTAGAGGGAAGATGGTAAAGGATAAGAGATAGACAATAAACGGTTGAGAGTAGAGGGAGGATGGTAGAGGATTGGGGATAGATGGTAGAGGGTTGAGAGTAAATGGAGGATGGTAGAGGATGGGGGATAGATGGTAGAGGGTTGAGAGTAGAGGGAGGATGGTTAAGAATGGGGCATAGATGGTAGAGGGTTGAGAGCATAGTGAGGATGGTAAAGGTTGGAGGATATATGGTACATGGTTGAGAGTAGAAGGATGATGGTAGAGGATAAGAGATTGACAATAGAGGGTTGAGAGTAGAGGGAAGATGGTAGAGGATAGGGGATAGATGGTAGAGGGTTGAGAGTAGAGGGAGGATGGGAAAGGATAAGAGATACACAATAAAGGGTTGAGAGTTGAGGGAGGATGGTAGAGGATGGGGATAGATGGTAGAGGGTTGAGAGTAGAAGGAGGATGGTAGAGGATTGGGGATAGATGGTAGATGGTTGAGAGTAGAGGGAGGATGGTAGAGGATGGGGGATAGATGATAGAGAGTAGAGAGAGTATGGAAAAGGATGGGGATAGATGATAGAGGGTTGAGAGTAGAGGGAGGATGGTAAAGGATAAGAGATAGACAATAAAGGGTTGAGAGTAGAGGGAGGATGGTAAAAGATGGGGGTAGAGGGTAGAGAGTAGAGGTAGGATGGTAGAGGATGGGGGATATATGATAGAGAATAGAGAGAGTGTGGAAGAGGATGGGGATAGATGATAGAGGGTTGAGAGTAGAGGGAGGATAGTAAAGGATTGGGGATAGATGGTAGAGGGTTGAGAGTAGAGGGAGGATGGTAAAAGATGGGGGTAGAGGGTAGAGGGTACTAACATCATGTACATGTAGTAGTAGCAAGTGCTGCTTTTCCTTAAATCATATCACAGGTAGAATGTAGGTCTAGTCTAAATAGGACGTACATTATATTGTATAGGAGTTTGTAGAACATGAAAATATCAACTTCTCACTGAAATTTTTAACAATACAGACGCACGATATCGCATTGAGTATTTCTCAGAAAAGTTTCACTATACCGATAAAAATAGATTGATTTCCTGCAATATTTATATAGAGGGTTTAAAACAGGACAAACACATATCAAAGCATGGAAAATTTTAATGAAAAATATATGTGGGACGACTCTCCTTTATTATTCAATTATTAAATTAAAATGAATGGAAATATTAAGTATAGACTAATATAGATTTATAGATTTGATTTCTTGTTATTGGTTTTTTCTAATTAAAATGGAAACTATTATAGTACAATATACTGTGTCGTTTCATGTTTCGCTGTTCCAGACATTAAATCAACATCAATAGAACTTTGATGTTGAGTCCTTATACCCCGTATAATACACAGTACCGCCAAGG